GTCCCACGAAATACTACAGCTATGACGCGCAGACGAACGAACATCACAGCAACGGGCGTACGCCCCACAAAATCCGACAGTGGCGGGGCGCGCTGGTAACACGGAATGACAACGAGGATGGCAGAACACGGCGGCGACGGGCGCGCGGCTGACAGTGCGTCGCACCCATCAGCTATACGACACCTTTGTGCATGTCCAATAAGCCACAATACGACACGACGATATCATCGGCTTGCGGGGCTAGGTTCAGTGGTAGAACACCATTCAGGATGCAGAAATTCCTCCTGAGGCGACGAATCACACGCTCCACGTGGATTCTGACACGCGAAATGCGCCGAGACTCCTGTACTTCCCTTTGCGACATTTGCTTTTTGCCCTTGGTGAAATGGGGTGTGAGGACCCTGACGTTGAGGACGGCCATCTCGTCCCTGACAAGAAAGCCCCGGTCGGCCAAGACAACGTCATATGGGTCAACTAAGCCCGTCAGACCGCTGACCAGGGTGATAGCTTTGTCGGTTGCTCTTCCGCCCCAAGCCTCTGATAAGAATGTCACCGCGCCCGATGGTGATATGCCTGGAAGAAATTTTATGGTGTTATGGCTCTTATAACTACTCCACATTTTGGCCCTTGCGACAAGTGATTTTAGCCTTTCAGTGAACAGTTCAAAGCAATCCACAACAACCCTAGTTTTCCTAGGCTCTGTCTCTGCCAGACGACAGCAGGATGGAAGGTTTGCTCGCAAAGCTTTTTTTGTTGGCCAAATTATGAACTGTTTTGCAACGCCGGCTAGGATGGGTAGACGTGTTGACAAGATCGTCCCTATGCACATCAGGTTGACATTTAGCCTGTACGCAATGTCTTTTTGTTGTATATTGGAGTTTAGGGGTGCGCCGACTGCGGTGGTCATTTGGCGCCCATAACGTGTATTGTTTTACCTATCTATTAAGCAGCATAAATGGCTCCAAAGTTGATGTGTTTGGGAAATAAGAAAATCTGTTGAGCTCCAAGAAATTGTGAGTCGTCTCCTACCATATCACTGAGGGTAAGGGGCGAGTCATGCTGTCCAAAGTAACGTTGGCGCTCTTCCATGAGGCACGGACGAGACACAAGGACATGACGAACGGTGAGGACGGCGCCGCATCGATGGCAGATAGGTTTATCGGCTCCCTCCATCATATAGCCGTGGGTTGCGTACGTCTGTCCGATGCGTAGTCTGCAGAGGATCACCTCTTCTCGCCTCATTTTGCGGAAACACGAAAACCACTGTCGCAGCTGAGGTTTTATCTCTTTAAGCTTATTACGCTCCATCTGATCCCAACAACGCTGCCACTTGTTATGCAGGAAGGTTTTTATTGCGGGGTAAAAGTCTCTGGCAGGAATAGAAATTGAGCGAACATATGGAGCCAGCGCTGCTCGCCTGGCAGCCGCGTCAGTCACCTCGTTGCCCGCGATTCCAACGTGACTAGGGACCCAACATAGCATGACTTTCTTTCCGGCCTGATCCAATTGAGTCAAACGCATTAAAATGTCCTGTATAAGGGGACATGATGGATAAAAAGACTTCAAACTCAGAATACTGCTCAGAGAGTCCGTCAAAATGAGATGTAAAGGTTCGTCGCCGACTTCAATAAAACATAGTGCCTTAGTGATTGCCACGAGCTCCGATGTGAACACCGAAGCGCTTGGGGGCAATGAAAACGACCGGATGACGCCATCGCTCACAAACGCACAGCCTACATCATCAGAAGTTTTAGAGCCGTCTGTGTATGTGTGTAGTCCTGATATAACGCTAAACGCTCAAGCGCTCTGGACCTCATTGTATCTGGCAGCGAGACATCCTTTTTCATTTCAGTCAGTGATGTGTCTGTGAAGGGAGAGATCAAATGCCAGGGAGGAGTACACAGATGACCTGGTGTTAATGATGCGTTTGGTGGATTCACACGCGCTGTCATAAATAAAACATGCATAATCCAGCTTAGAGCGTATGATGGCCCGATACAGCAGCAAAAGCGTGCTCCGATCTCCGCCATACGATGTGAGCGAAACACATTTTAATACGTTCAAAGATTTAAAACAGCGTTCACGTAGCATCTTAAGATGTGCTTTATACGTAAGTCGGCGGTCAAAGTATACCCCAAGGTATCTAGCAACAGGCTCAGTTGGGATGCATTGCCCATACATACGGATAGACAGGTCACCGCATTGCCGGCTACGACAAAAATGCGTGGCCACAGTCTTGCTGCATGAAAACCTGAACCCGTTCATGGTACCCCACTTTTCAACGCGGTCAACAGCTAACTGGAGTTGGCGTTCCATCGATGGTGCTCTTGCTGCGCTAGTCCAAATGGTAAAATCATCAACGAAAAGCGCACGGCCTACAGACTGTGGAAGCCCCATCCCGATGTCGTTGATCATAACGACGAACAAAGCTACGCTGAGAACGCCGCCTTGGGGCACACCGTTAACTTGCACATGCCTCTCAGAGAGCTCGTTTCCAACACGGGCACGGAAAGAGCGGTCAACTAGAAAGTTTTGAAGAAAGGTGCCCATATTGCCGCGTATACCATACCTGTGTAGCTTGAGAAGGATGCCTTGAGGCCATGTGGTGTCATAGGCGCCCTCTATGTCAAAGAACACTGCGCTTATGTGTCGGCTTGCTTTAAACCCCATACGAATCGCAGTATCAAGACCTAAAAGATTGTCCACTGTGATGCGATTCTTCCTAAAACCACACTGGGCGTTTGTAAAAACGCCGTTATGTTCTAAAAACCAAGTCAAACGGACATTTACCATCTCTTCCATCAAATTAGAGAGCGATGAAGTGAGAGAAATAGGCCTATAGTGTACAGGATCTAGTCCACTTTTACCCGGTTTCAAAATAGGAACGACTATAGCTTCTCGCCAAGAGGCTGGAAAGTCACCACTGGCCCACAGCGCATTAAATACTGCTTAAAGAGCGCGAAGCACGCAAGGCGACAAATGCTTGAGCATGTCGTTGTGCACAGCGTCCGGACCTTCTGACACGCTGCGAAGCTTGGCAATCGCCCATTCCAGCTCGACTAGGGTGAATGGATCATTATAAGAACGTAGCTCACTCGTTGAAAAATCCACTGCAGATTGCTCACATTGCGCTCGATGCCACACAAACTGTGGGTTAGTGTTGCCACCTTCGCTGCGGTAGGCCAGCGCCCGGGCAATCTCGTTCGCAACTTCCAACGGGCGCGTCACGGCCTGTCCGTTCACACATAGTACCGGAAGAGCCATGGGTGTAAAGTGCCCAGATATGCGTTTAATTCGAGACCAAACCTGCGATGTTGGCGTGAAGCAGTTCAGCGTACTCACGTAAGCATGCCAGGAAGCACGCTTCGCCCCCCTTACGGTGCGCCGAGCAAAAGCTCTCGCCTTCTTAAAGGCTATGAGGTTTTCTGTACTGCTCCTGGCGTCAAAGGCCCGAAATGCACGTTTACGCGCCCGGATGGCGCTCCGACACTCCTCCGTCCACCACCGAACAGGAGTACGTCGGGGAGCGCCAGACGTGCGTGGGATACAACTGTTGGCGCACTCTAAAAGTCTGTGGGTAAAATCCTCAATAGAGGGTACAGTCCTCACAGCCTCAGTTACGAACGATTCGTCGAGCCGAGTCTCAAATTCGCACCAGTCCGCTTTCTTAAAATTCCAGGGTTGTGGTCTAACATTCAACGCTCCACCTCTCTTAAACCGGACCCACACTGGGAAGTGGTCACTTCCCATGGGGTCATCTCCGACACTCCACTCGAGGTGTTGGACGAGCTGGGGACTGGAGAGGCTTAAGTCCAGCGCGGAAGTCTGACCGGACGGCATTGTAAAATGCGTACGAGTTCCTGTGTTTAAAATACATAGTGAAGCACCGTGGATAAAATTATCGCACAGCCCCCCACGAGCATTGGTGACGTCACACCATCATGCGGTGTGATGTGCATTAAAATCGCCTAGAAGAAGAAGTGGTGGAGGCAGCTCAGCCAGCAGACACCTAAGGTGCGCCAACGGAAAAGCGATGCCTGGTGGAAGGTAAGGTGAGCAAACAGTGATGTGACGATGGTTGAAATAAAGCCGCACGGCCACAGCCTGAAGTGTGGACCGCAAGCTTAGCCTCCTCGCTGGCACGCTATGGTGAACTGCCAGGAGGACGCCACCGTGAGCAATGCTTTCCGTCAACACGTCGTTGCGAAACATCGCATATCCTTTCAGAGAGCAGATATTGTCAGGCGCTAGCTTGGTTTCCTGCAGCGCCACGACTGCAGGAGGAACTCTGCTAACGACAGCCTCGAGATCGAGGGCGTTCGCCCTTACCCCTCTACAGTTCCACTGTAAAAGCGCCTGTAAAAGGGCGTATTAAAAAAGAGGTAAGATGTGAGAAGCTAAAACAATCCCGGCTTAAAAGAACTCGGCTGCGCCAGGTGCATGTCCAGACGCCTCAGACCGAGAGCTTCGGCTTAACTCCGGGGGGCCGTGCCCCATCCTAGGACGAATCCTTGGGCTACCTCCGTCAGATGGCTGGGACACGCTTTACGCCAGCGTACCCAGCCCGGGGTGGAGGCGGGGGATGGCCCATCGGTGGGCCTCTACCGGGGTTCGAGGCACCAGCCTCCTCCACCGGCTTCCGTGGCGATGGAGTGCTGTTTCGGGGGATGGGTTCTTTGTCTGCCCCGGACAGGCGGCTTGCCGCCTTAGCGCGCTCCAGTCCGGCCAAGCGTGCTCGCTTGGCCTCGCGGGCGCGCCTGTCAGCTTCCTGACGTTCCAGCGTCTCTGCCACACTCTCACAGGCACTGGCAAGAGGTGTCTGTGGCAAAGGGACCGATTGGGTCGCAGACGAAGGCAAGGCCGGCGGCGCGCGGGGACTCCGACCACGCCGAGCCGTCGTCCAACCGTCGCCCGCTGCTGATCCGGCGCGCGCCGAGGAGGCCAGCGGTGCGACGTCCACCGACTGCTCGATCGGCGCGGAGGGAGCTTGGGGTGCCGACTGGGAGTCGGGCGTTCGGACCGAGGGAACAACCGACAGGCCAAACGACCTCAGAAGTCCCACGAACTGAACGGCCGTCATGTGCGGCCGTTGTCACAGTCACGTGACACGGCCGTCATGCCGTGACTGACCCGCACGCCGCGCCCCTCAGCCACCAGGATCCGATCAACCCGGAGACGTGGGCGAGGGGGCACGGCGACCCCGGTAAAACGCGGATGAGGAGTTGTGATAGGGCCGGATGCGGGAGTGCGGGTAATGTGGAGGAAGCGGGCGAGACAAGGAGCAGGAGCTCACGTACCGGCAGGGTCGCTACGCCCTGAGAGGACCAGTTTGCGCTGTCCACCCGTTACCGGAGCTGGGACCCGAGGGGGCGCTAGTCCCCTACACCGGCCGAAGCCGGTGCCCCTATGGGGCGTAAGCAATGTCTTAATTGCTTAAACCTAGCTTGAGTTTAAGTAATACGGCCAGTAACGTGGATTCAGCTGATAAGCCACGAAACTTACTGAAGCCAGAGATGTGCATGATGCGTAAAAGGAACAGAAATGCTGCAAGAGATGGGACACCAGTATAAAACTTGAGCTTCTCCTCATTCCCACGCCATTCATCATATGGGTCTACTTTACATGATTTCTTCAGCTCCTCATTCTCTGCTTTAAGAGCCGCATTTTCTTCAGTCAGACGTTCATTGGCGTCCCGGAACATGTTGATGATGATTCTCAGGCGCTTCACATCTTCTGTTACCGCGGAACATCCACCATCTGTATTTGTGCTAGCATCTGCAAATCACAAAATAATGTTTGCTTCAGTGCCTGAAGCTCCACAGACAAGTGTGCAGCATCTGTAGGCACGCTGTACCTAGTAGCTGTCGGTGAACATGGTTATTTTACATATAAGTCATCACTTTCAATTTTTGAGTCTACTGGTGTGCAGGGTTTGTGACTGTTTGTGCTTGTGAGGACATTGCAATACTGAGAATATCTAGGACAAAGTCACAAATAATGGAAATGGTTGATATTCTTAGTAAACCTTATGGGCACTGTATCTATTTGGTACAAATATGGTTTGGATCACATCTTCAAGCACACAACATTGTCCCAAAATGGTTAAGCACATAGTATTCCATGGAGCACTGAGCAAGGGCTTAAGCTGCAGTAAGACAAACATTTGGACCTACCAGTGACAGCGACCTAAGTGAACAGAGTACACAGAGCATAGGTACAGAAACAAGATGAAAGGGCTTTGTTTAAATGCTACATATGACCAAACTGATCTCTTCTATGAATATTCATGTTTACCTGTAAGAACATTATCAGTGTAATTGGTATTGCACAACCTGATAATCCAACAGCAAACATGTGTTGTTCCCCATTACATTGCATGGACACATGGTTTTTTGCTGTTGGCAGGTGGGCTTGAGCCTGTGACCCTTCAGCACCTTCACCATCTGGAACTATTTCACCGAAGTTGAATGTGTCTTCCACTTGCTCACATTTCCCAGCACCTTGTGTTGTTTCAACTAGGGAATCAACTGACACATGGTCAGTGTTGGAGGACCTCTGGGAAATCTTTTGTGCCCTATGGTATCTTCAAAGGTTTTTCTGTGAGTCACCAACAGACATGTGAATTGCAGAGAATTCACATTTTGATGGCACATAGTCTGAATGCTGCTTGTTCCACCACTTGGCAGGACATCCTGAAAATAAAAATGTAAGTGTTAGTATTAACTAGTATAGTATTGCAATTTTTATCAAATAGTTGTGGGTGAAAGAGTTAGTATATCAAGTTAAACATGAGACCATAAGCCAATTAATTGTCATACACAAAGTAACCCACCAAAACAGTAACAGTTATGTTGATGTGAGGCACGTTTCCTGGTAGCCCAAACTATAACCTTTACGAGATAGGTATGGCATTATAGTGACATCATGCAGCGATTTTACCAGTAAAACTATGAACTAGTCTAAAGGAAACCCAAGTCCTCTTGGACAATCTTTCTTAGGCTGCGGCAGTGAAAACTGTACTGCAAACAGTGCAGCTAAAACTTAACCAGTCTGTGTGTAATCCATGGCAACTAGGACCATTTCGGTTTACCAGTTTGGCGTTTGGACAATTCATAAGATAAAACCTTGACCAGATTGACAGACGTCTCAAGACGTCTGTCAACCTAGCAGCAGATTGATGTCCAATTGCCAGTTGGATATTGCGGGGCGTCTCGATTGCCTCCAAATTTGGTGTGCAGGGCCTTCTCAACACGCCGATTCGGAAAATTACTGCCTTTGGGGTGGAATTTTGCGTAATTTTCGAGTTATACGCTGCGAAACATTCCAATGTGATATTGCGGGGCGTCTCGATTGCCTCCAAATTTTGTGTGCAGGGCCTTTTCAACACGCCGATTCCGAAAATTATCGTCTTTGGGGTGGAATTTTGCGTAATTTTTGAGTTATACGCTGAGTAACATCCCAATGTGATATTGTGGGGCGTCTCGATTGCCTCCAAATTTGGTGTGCAGGGCCTTCACAACATGCTGATTCCGAAAATCACTGTCTTTTGGGGTGAAATTTTGCGTAATTTTCGAGTTATACGCTGCGTAAAATCCCGATGTGATATCGCGGGACGTCTCGATTGCCTCCAAATTTGGTGTGCAGGGCATTCTCAACACGCTGATTCCGAAAATCACTGCCTTTGGGGTGGAATTTTGCGTAATTTTTGAGTTATACGCTGCGTAACATCCCAATGTGATATTGCGGGGCGTCTCGGTTGCCCCCAAACTTCGTGTGCAGGGCCTTCTCAACACGCTGATTCCAAAAATCACTGCCTTTGGAGTGGAATTTTGCGTAATTTTTTAGTTATACGCTGCGTAACATCCCAATGTGATATCGCGGGGCGTCTCGATCGCCTCCAAATTTTGTATGCAAGGCCTTTGGAGTTAAAGGCGTAGAATGTGGCAGCTTTAGATTGCTGCCCTAATGGTAGTGAAACCTACAAGATATTAATGCTGCCTAAGTACGCGATTCTCCTTAGTTGCCCACGAGCATGCTGCTTTCCGTTTAAAAATTTGTTAACAATGAGGAAGTGCAGTACCGTGGGTTGGAAGAAGGTGTAGTTATGGGTTGCAATGAGCAACGGTATTTCATGCATGGAATTTTACTTGGCAATCTGATTTTTGGACACTGTTGGACGGAGAGCTGATCCGTCCTCGTGGTTTCGATTGGACTTTGGACAATCGTTCCCGGAAAAACGTCTGGTCAGGAAACATTATCCCACCATTACACAAATGGAAAGTGATCATTCTCGCTGCCGCTGCCTTTGATGCTTATGACAGCACTAAAGCGCACCCGTGGGTCCGTGAAAAGCCGACTGCTTTGGGACTTCATTCAAGCCTAAGTTTTATTTTCTGCAATTTGTACACATGCGAAGTGTATTTTACGTTACAAACAACATCCTAAAAAAGTTTGACTTTATTACATTTTCGGCATATGGAAATGAACATACGACACAATGCTTGACTATGAGCTAGGCACATCGGACGTCACAATAAATCAGTTCCAAAACACCACTCTCAAGGCCACCATCACCTGCTTTTCTCGCACTTATGATTCCTGACTTTCTTGGGGTCACACACGCCGCGCTCATGTGAACATTTGATGCAACGCAGCACAATGACTCTGCCACACATCTTCGCCGCTATCCAGCCAGTCATCTCGCATGACGGCCATCACAGGAGTACGAACACGCGATAGGCAATGCCAGTAAAAACGTCGCTTCACGGAGGAAGAGAATCATCAACGATACATTGCCGCGGCCGCAGTTCGTTTCCATCCCCTGCTTGATCCACCGCGTGAAGCAGTGCGGAATGCGGGCAACAAAATCCATCAGTGACGCGTGGCGACGAGGCTGGTTGCTGTCAGCACGTGGGTAAGGACGGGGTCGGTGGCAATCAGCGCCCGGCGCCGCACGTCGTGTGCCGTCCCATGCTTCGGCATGCAGTCGGCTATCAGCTGTTTGGGCCGCCTGACCACCGGTGTGTCGCCACCGCAGTCCGGCCGGCTCGCGTAGTGCGGTGTCTCCACCACGGTCAGCAGCAGCGGGCTGATGTGGCCGGCCAGCCAACAACATGAGCATGGCGTGCACAACTAGCATGCGCTGCTCCACCAGCGTCACCAGCGTCCTTGGGAGATAAAACAGGCGGTGACATCACCCAAATCTTCAAGCTCCAGCGGTGAGGCACGATTGGTTTGGTCACAAGCGACCTCTTGTCAGTTTTTGGTTAGGACAAACAATGATAGTGACTACGTCGGACTATTACTTCACCACCTTAAAGGTCAGAAACGAAACAAAGCTGAGAAGGATGTCACTGGGCCATACCACATGCCAATGCTTGGTGGTGGCATGGCCAATGCGAACTGACCTTCTCCAGTGAACTGACACGGGCAGGCCCGAAGGGGAATTCCAGGGCACATATTCCAAAACGCATTGAAGCCTGGCTTCCTCAAACACGCATCCACCAACTATGCATATGGCTATCCCGTCCAGTGAATCTAATATCAAATTATCCGTCAGTGAGTTCGTCTACATTCAAAACTGGATCCACGAAGAGCAAGCGCGTTTTCAGCCTGAAAAGAGAAGGCATATATCACCTTGCCTGACCCCGTGTTGCTTCGCGGCCTCTTGAAGATGTTAGCCTCCGACCCGTCGTTGTCGGCTGCCGCCGTGGCCAGGAGCTGACCGAACGGCACCGGCTTGACCATCAGCAAGCGCGTCAGCAGAATCAGGTGAACCAGCATCACCATGGGGAACGGCTTGCCAGACGCCTGCTCCCCAGACACGGCCGATGGCAAGCCAGGAATCGGGCTGACAGCTGTGAACACGACAGTGCCCCGTCAGACCAGCGATCGGCGCAGGCGTCGCGACGAGACAGGCTTCAACGATATCGAGTCTTACAAAGCATCGCCTGCTACAATACATAACTTATCAGCAAGCCAGGCCACCAAAACATGAAATATTATCATTTTATGTCATTTGCATTACGCCACAACCTGAGCTGAAGATATGTCATTGCGCAAACATCACCAAGTGGTACGCACATCGCGTTGAACGCATCTAAGTTGAGACCAAGGCTTAGCAGAATTCTGCAGCATGACTACCACATACAACAGCGTAGAGAAAGATCCCGAATAAATTCAGCAAGTAACACAACCACTGATATGTCACTGGTGAGCAATATCTTAACCAGATAGAATCATTTTAAATATTCGGCAGCCAGTTGATGGCAGCCACAGCGTGCTTGGGATGGTTCAAATTGTCACCACAGATACTTTACAGCCTGTTCTCAGCGGCAGCACGGCAAAATGATGAAAGCGTTCACAGTGGCTATGCACCGCGTTCTAAAGGCCGCTTGACCGTCAAAGTCGCACGAATCGACGGCTCAACCCAGTGTTCTAATATTCGGTCACTTGGATGGCATGTATGTGGATATGTTTCATGTTATTACACCCCGGCTTGTGCCTCTCTGCCGACTGCCCATCCTCTGGTTAAAAATCAGCCAATCAGCATCGGACTGCGCGGCTGTGAAACCAGTATCTATGCACCTCAGGCTTGACAAATGCACTAAGTAAGTCAGGTGTCTGGGTCGGGTCAAAGGGCAACGGATTGGCGCAAACCAATTGCGTGCGGGGCTGTCGCCGGATAGCCAGGATTCTGGTAACATTAATGTATATTTAAATCCCGCACAGCCCGCTGAATGTATTTCGGAACGCTGGCTGAACTACATCCACAAGTGGGACCCACCATCGCGACATACTCTGAGCGAGCACCGTCCGATCCAATCCGTCCGTGATCCCATGCCGGTCCACATCCCTCGGCGAGCTCACCAGTCTCGGGCGCCGCCCTGAAGACAACCTCTGCGAGAAGCACCATGACCACGCCGTTGGACTTCATTTTGGCCGGCTGGCTGTGGCAGGCGGCGGCCAGTGTGGCGCCGTGGCGCGCCTGGAATTGCACCGGCGTTAGTAGCACGGACACCTAGCTGATGCCGAACGCCGGCCACAGAGTGTTCGATTTTAGCTCCAGCAGCGACACTAGGTATGTTACACATGCCGACGGCCATGGGGATGGATCAGACAGAACATTCTGGGGCAGCCAGGGACACTGGTCGGAGCGTCCTTGCTGGGGCAGCCAAAGACGCAAATAAAAAGCACAAGTTCCAAAGCTACCAGCACGATGGCACGGCCTGAAGGCACAGGTACTGCGGAAGCAAATATACATCAATGTGCAAAAAAGACGACAAACCGCAAACAGGATGCTGTTAACTGAGAAGAGGTGAACAGAGCGGCCTAGTCGATTCGATTTGGAAGCCAACGGAGGACTGTTCGTAACTATGCAAACTCAAATTCTCTCTGACCTTACTCCGAGACAAATATTGGGCTAAGTAGTGACCCCAATGTAGGTATATGCACCTCATCCTACCTATCCCCTAACCAAATTTAAGGCCATGTATTCGTGCGTACGTAACAGTATGCGGAAAGTTGAAAACTGCATGTAAGTCCGCAAAAAAGAGAAGATCAACAATGTGCAGCATCCATTTCAGCAGTTCCAGGTACGCAAGAAACGGCGAGGGCCGTACCGCGGTTTTCAGTGAAAGCGTTGGAGTTGTGTCCCGCTGGTGAAATTTTGGGTGCGCCTATGCACAAGTGTCACATATTTCTAGCGGCCGTCAAGCCGGTGTCACCCTGCGGAACGGCATCGCGGGACGGCTTGTGGGAGCCGTTTTTCCTGAGCGGCGAGGCACAGCACCACTGGAAGTTCGTGCGTCCCCCGGCGACTGCCACGTTGATTGTCGGCTACACCGGGCCTGCACACCAAATTCGGAGGCAATCGAGACGCCCCGCAATATCACATTGAGATGTTGCGCAGCGTATAGCTAAAAAATTACGCAAAATTCCACCCCAAAGGCAGTAATTTTCGGAATCAGCATGTTGAGAAGGCCCTGCACACCAAATCTGGAGATAATCGAGACGCCCCGCAATATCACATTGGGATGTTACGCAGCGTATAACTCGAAAATTACGCAAAATTCCACCCCAAAGGCAGTGATTTTCGGAATCAGCGTGTTGAGAAGGCCCTGCACACCAAATTTGGAGGCAATCGAGACGCCCCGCAATATCACATTGGGATGTTACGCAGCGTATAACTCGAAAATTACGCAAAATTCCACCTCAAAGGCGGTGATTTTCGGAATCAGCGCATTGAGAAGGCCCTGCGCACCAAATTTGGAGGCAATCGAAACGCCCCACAATATCACATCGGAATGTTACGCAGTGTATAACTCGAAAATTACGCAAAATTCCAGTCCAAAGGCAGCAATTTTCGGAATAAGCGTGTTGAGAAGGCCCTGCACACCAAATTTGGAGGAAATTGAGACGCCCCGCAATATCCAACTGGCAATTTGATATCAATATGTTGCTAGATTGACAGACGTTTTCTGAAGGCCTTCTGATTCGTATTTCTATGGCCACGGGCGCTAACCAAGGCATAAAAACACTGCTGACATGGGGTTATATTTTGACGCATCACCCCATTCGGGATTGTCGCATTTGATGACGTCACCAATAGCAAAATGCAATCATTTCTATACACCCTCCAAAACGTAGGGCGGATGCGCACCTGGCTTATGCACCCTCCAAAACGGAGGACGGTTATGCACCGGGCTTATACACCCTCCAAAACGGAGGGTGGTTACGCATCCGGCTAACGCATCCTTCAAAATAGAAGGTGGCTGCGTACCGGGCTTATGCACCCTCCAAAAACCTCGCAAAGGATATGCGCACCGCCCCTACGTACACTGCAAATTCTAGAAAACCAAGGCCCTACGAGAAGACAGCCAGCCGCCTGTCATCCCTGTGTATCGCCATTTCATTTTTGCGCTCATTTTTGTTAATTTTTGCTAAGTGCCAAATGCATGGCGCGAAAGAGACAAAATGAGTTCACCAACCTTGACTCATGTCGTTGCGTGTCGCTTGATGTTTCTCGGTTCATCTTGTTGATGTTCTGTGGAGGATTGGGGCGGTGAATGCTCGATTTAACTATGATGTGTTTGAAGCTTTTGTGTGGTATGCACGAAAGCTAAAAAGGTGTATTGTATACGATGCTGTTTGTGTGTGCGGTAGCCATTTGTTAACCTGTGGGTAATGTTGAAGGCACAGGTTTTTCTCCATGATTTTAGTGTAAGGCGGCATTGGGCCGCTAGTTGCAGGGAGTTGAGTGCTTTGCCTGCCGTCTTGCGCTATGCTTGATTGTGTCTGTTGTGTTTCTGTGGCTGCATTTTTGAAGACATTTATGAACCTGGTGGTACAAAATATACCACTTTATTGTTATTACATGTTGTAAAGATGATGCATCTCTTCAATTAATTCAGACACTGCTCAGATAACTGACCTCTTTTTTTCATTTGAAATGATTTTTAGACATGAAAAATGAGCGGTTCAAGTAACAGTGAGTGAACATAATGCTGTGAATATTTAGGCGTAGGATTAGGTTGCAATCTCATCTGATTACATATTATGGTTGTTTTGGGGACTAAATCTCATGTCATGCTAGTTTTTCATCATTGCATCATCTTCCTTAGGTTTATGAGTGCACATAGGCACATTATGTGATGGATATATATTTTCCATGAAAGTGATTAGATGACATTTTTGTGGCTGTTCCATTGCATGCTTTAAGGTTCATGCTTCATAACTTGCTGTATGAGTCCAGTTATATCAAAGGTATCATAAAGGCTAGCTTAAACCTTGAAAGCTGATAACTACAGCACTGTACTTTTTTTGCTTTGATATACCAGGGACCTGCAATGAAATTGTCAGAGACAGGTACCCAAGAGGGAGGCATAGAGAGAGGGGCATCTGCAGTCCTTATGGTGAGAAGAACTGTCACAAGGCTGTGCTGCTGTGAATAGACATTGGACATGCATTGGTGTCCCATGCCACCAATAGTGAGAACTGTGCATCCTGTAAAGAAAAGAAATGTTGTGACCAGGCCTTTTACTTATGTCCCATTGTCATTGATATTTGGAATAAGGACACTGTATGGCTGCTCCTGGTATTCAGAAAATCATGCCAGAGTGTGTTATGCATGCATAAATAAAGGCAGGCTGTGTGCTAGGCATTGTTTAATTGTTACAAAAAGTTTGCTTTCCTGTCTTGCTGACAAATTGTAATTTCTACCTCTTTGAAAATTATGAAATTTGCATTTCAAACAAGACATGAGCAGAGTGGTAGCTTTTATGCAGCAGTTTCAAAATCAATTTCCTTACCTGCACATGGCTATTGAATGCCTTTCAAAGGTCATAGTAAGTCGTAACAAACCGCAGGTTTTGATCTCTTCAGGCACTAAGACGACCTGATGCAAGATTGTAAGTGATTATATTGGATTCCTGCGGGATAAGCAATCTGGAAACATGCTTGACATGACTAGCATACTGCGTCTCATGTTGGTCTCATATGATTTCATCTTGACATCCTACCTAAATCTTGTCTATGCAATGACCAGAAGAAAAAAAATTGTAGCTGACGTTTCAGTTGCATAACACAATCAAAATGAACGTGAAAATATTTTGAATCATAGATTGCATGAATGCAGCAAATTATCACGGCAACCTATGGAATGACCTTGACCTGACCCCATTGTGGCATCTACATGTTCGTGACACAGCATCCTCATTTAGCCAAAGATCATATACTTTTTGAGGAAATGAAACACTCCAATTGACCCAGCCCCTGCAAACATGTAATGGGGGTCTGCAGGCCTTTGTCCTGACCTTGACTTTCCATGGCAGCATGATTTCTAATTGTTGTTTCTTTAAGATGCGCCCATGGACTCTTTCGGTTTGCATATATATTTCCAACTTAGGCAATTAATTCCCGAAAAAGCTTTGTGAGAGTTTTGTTTCCCGGCTTTCCAGCCCGGCGCGCTCGGCTGGAACGCCAGGCAATCGATTATTGATAAACCTTGCAGCCGATATTATGGCCTATTCGGAGAGGAGGTAGTCTTGTTATAGTGTTGTTGGAGGGTAAGGTGTGCGGTGTAACCAAGGCCGTCGCCTCTAATGTGTTCTTTTGTGTATATTGCTTGCATCTTGGGAAAATGCAAACTCAAAGTTTTGGATTTGGCTGAGTTCATGTCACCCTACTTAGGTATGGCGCGATCGAAACACAGCAGGGCCATTTCGTTCCTCCCAGTGAACTGACAAGCAGTTGCATCTCGGGACCCGAAATCGGTAGAGAATGGCCCATTTCAATCACCCGTTATGCAACATAGCAGCATCTCGGCGCCAGCTCGGCACCGAAGGTACAAGAGCCGTGCCCGTGCCATAAAGCGCAGGTTAGTGCCTTCCAAATTTTGCCTTTTCGCAGCCAATGGCTGCTGACACTAAAGCATAGTCGGGGAAAGAAACAGTGACAGTTTCTTATCGCTGAATCTGTGGTGGCGACGTAGAAAGCATGTTGCCTACGTCCCCCTTCATCTCTGGCGGCAAGTAGGCGTGATTTGGCGCAGCACTTTCGGTGTCATGCAAATCACAGGTAAACACCACGTCATCAAATCGTTTACAGTTCATGCATTGGTGTATGTTGCAGCACCTCGACAGGTACTAATGCGTTTTTCCCCACGCTGCACAGTCTCGCATCATCGTCGCAACGGGAAACCCACCATAGGTTGCGCGGGGACTGGACAAAAGGGAAACAGCGGCATCAGAGGCCGAGCACGAGGATTGCCTTGCCCTGCAGTTTTTAGTATCGCAATCGTAAAACCTGCACACCACTTGAATAGTCTCACACAATGATACCCCCGGGGCACAGACGGCGGTGGCACAGATAGCACGCCCCCCCCCCCCCCCCTTAGGATTCCCAAGGGCTCGTTCAGACCCCTTGGTATCGACGATTGGGGGCCCGTTTTGAGTGCCCAAAGGCCTGACTGGGGGTCGCGTTAAGGTGTCTGACGCTGCTGGCTGGGCCTACAAATATCAGTCAGAGGACTGTATGCATCGATTGCAGGGGACCCCTGCGTCGATAAGAACCAATCGGTCGGTTGGGGACCACTAGAACCAAACATCCGGCTCCTCGGCAGTCTAGGTCTGAAGACCCATTTCTAAAGCAACGACAAAGCCGGGGTTCATATGTCGCCCAAGGTCCCGAAGTGCTTGACATAAGGTCCCGCGTTGGGAAGCTGCCCTGAGGCCGTCAAGAGCCGTGTTCGAGGGATCCGAAGATCTTGGGACCAAAGCTCAAGGGCCTGGGCGGAAGACAGAAGGGCCGAAGCGCTGGCTGTATGTTACGACCCACCGCTGGTAGCGCCGTGACCTCAAATATCAGTCACGACGTCTCTCCCACCAGTTGGGGACCCCTAGGGCAATGTGAGCCCCTATTTCGGCAAGACATCACCAACACCGAACAGTTGTTTTCGTGCCGGTCTGAGCCCTGAGAGCCCGCTTCCCAAGCATGGACGAAGCCGAGCCCGAGGATTGCATTGGTCTGGACCCCTGCGACGAGAAGCCCTTGTGGCGGTCAGTGTCCCACAGTGCCCAACAGTAGCTCCTCTTAGGCTTGCAGCCACAACAGCTAGCCGAATCATCTGTCGTCTGAATGCATCGCGTCTATCTGGATGCCAATGTTGTGGTTACCAGAAAACGACTGTGCTTCATCGTAGGATGACAATCTGGACACAACAGACATCTATTGCACATCATATACTGCATACGTGTATAAAATGTAATATATAAAAGGCATATGTAAATCATAAGTTATAAAATGCATATGTAAAGCATAAGGTATAAAACGCATATGTATATTAAACGGAAATGACAGCTAAAGCCACGCATCCACCGCCGCTGGTCAGCCGTGTCACAGCAAGCCAGGGACAACGACATGACATGGCATCCGAGCGCAACGACATCATGTTTGGCGCCAAAAGAAAGTAACTGCTCATCGACTCGCTATAACGTAATTATGTACGGCTACGCATAATTAACCAATATGCTGCCCCCAAACACAAGTGCACCCACGCTGCCATGGCATTCACAGGTTCATGACGACCTACCGACGGCTAGGGCAGGCCGTCGTACTGCATATGATATGGCCAGTTTAAAGCAATGTAGCAATTCTCAATTCTCACGCACGCGCCGCATTGCACGGAGGCACCAACCAGGTGGTCCTGCCCACAACCACACAACCAATCACGTTCTTCATCGAACTGGTCCACCCCAGCCAGGAGCATCTTCCACTCAGATCGGGTGAAGCGATGTCCCAGAGATAGCAGCACATCTGGATTCGCTTTTAGCCTGCCGAGGTGGGTGACATCCCATGCCCGTACGTCCACTTCACCGAACAGGCCTTCCTTCGATGGGTTCTTGAGAATCCAGCGTAGCATGGCTGCAACAAGAGCCGGTAAGATGAATTTTGCACCGTGGAAGGCGCCAGATGATAGCAGTAGTGAACGTTACGGTGGATGAGATGACACAAAGACTAAAACAAACGAAGCAAGTAACCCATGTAACATTGTGCAACTAGATTTCCTCACTGCGTTGCAGCATTAATTTCTGATTCTTTGCAGGTAACAGTGCACTGACATGTAGCATGCGCGGGCTTCTGTTTCAATAGCTTCAAAATGGGCTGCCCTTGGGCATGGCGCCGGAAAATTATCGTCGACAACATGTGGGACCTCGGGCCTGTGCATATTTTTAGTACATGGTGCCCAAAGCATGACGAAAAGTGCGACTGTGTTTCATCTCAATGCCGGTTACAGTGCACTACGTCGTGACCTCTATGTTCTTCACGGCTCAATATTTCTGGTTTGAAGCTAAAGCGTATTGCATGCGTGGGAATCGTGACATGGGCCGTTTCCCATCGAATCAATGGGCCTTCGTGCCGGACGGTGTCGGGATGACATGACAATTTGCAAACGCCTTCACCAGGTCCTTCGTTGCACGTTTCTGTCCGCTGTAGGTCCCGGAGAACAAATCCTTATACGCTGAAGAAGGCGCAGCTATGTTTTACGCTCGCAAGCGAAAAAGAGAGAGAGAGAGAGAGAAGGCGAAAGAGCGATAGGAAGCGATAGAGAGCGATAAAGCGGTAGAGAGCGATGGAGCGATAAAGCGATAGAGAGCGATAGAGCGGTAAAGCGAAAGAGAGCGATAGAGCGATAAAGCGATAAAGAGCGATAGAGCGATAGAGAGCGATAAAGCGATAGAGAGCGATAGAGCGATAAAGCGATAGAGAAGGATAGAGCGAGGACGATAGAGCGAAAGAGAGGTGTGAACCGTAACTTTACATGTAATATCTCACTTGTAAGTCGTCGCATCGCAGTTATCGCAAGTGCGACGAGCCATCAACAGTGAAACTGCGCAACTTACCATTCTGCTTTTCGTGGAAAAGCAGACCTGGGAAGGTCTCCAGAGTTCTCCGTTTCAGTTTTGGCAGTTCGGTGACGTTGGTTGCCGTACTTCCGCGCGGTCGACCCTTGTTCTTGGTGATCTTGGCAGGTTTCTTCAGATGTTCCAGTTCGGCGACATGCCCCAGTCGCCTCCGCATTCCTCGATCTGTGACATAGACAGAACCAGCACCGGAAGAGACCTGTTCGAAACTGCCAGCGAAAGGGACCTGGCGGCCCTCCTCGGCCTCACCCTGGCAAAAACTTCCTGAGGAGAAAATGGAGCGCGCCTCTTTAGCCACACCCTGCCTGGAGCTGCCTGCGGAGGAGGCGGGGCGGGTATCTCCAGCTGCGCTCTGGATAGAAGGTCCTGAGGAGACGGGGCGCGCTTCTGTAGCCACACCCTGCCTGGAGCTGCCTGCGGAGGAGACGGGGCGGGTATCTCCAGCTGCGCTCCGGCTAGAAGGTCCTGAGGAGAAGACATCTCCATCCACGCCTTGGTCTGGAGCAGAGTGGAGTTGGAGTGGAGTGGAGCAGAGTGGAGCGGAGAGTGGAGTGCGTTTTTTTTTTAAAACACAAAATGCGACAAAACTGGGTATCTCTGGACTTTCAGGCGACCAAGAACAGTTGTAAGCGAAAGTGAAGGGCCTATGAGAAGTCGCAAAAATTACTCAATGATTGGAAAAGTTGTGAACTGGAAATTTTAAGCCCCATTACATCGTCTAGGGCTACATGCTGTTTCCGGGGACCTAGAGGTCAATTGCAGGTTCATTTCGGTCGTTTAGGAGTATTCCACGTTGTCATTCATTTCTTTGCATTTGCTCCGAGGGCCCTGCGCTGTTGTTGGGGCCCTTCCTGTTAGCGTGCCGGGGAACTCTTGTCAATCACGGGCCCTTCCACGGATTATTTCCATTCGCCAGAAAGCCTCTGTGAGCGGTAGCCACAGTCCCATACCTTAACCTGCCGGGGTATATTCGGTTGTCCAGGGGCCCTTTACGTGGATATCGGCTAACCTACCGACACACTTGCGATATGCCCATGGGTCCTCTTCATTGGTCTAGGGCGTTTCCAATTCTTTGTCACTTGCTTAGGGCCCTACACCCTTACCGGGGGTCCATCTAATGGTCTGCTTGGGCACACTCAGTCGTTTGGGGACCGTCTACACCAGGTTTTTGATACTTTTTCTGAATGGGTAGCCTACGCTTCTGTGGGGGGGGGGGGGGAGGGCTATCTGATAACCTGCTCGGGCACATTCGATCGTTAGGGGAGCCCTCTATATTGGGCCTTAGGCACATGCTATTTGAATGGGGCCCTACGCAATTGTCGGGGGCCCCCTCTGTTCGCCTCCTCGCCCACACTGGATTGCTGGTGGACCCTGCACATCGGTTCTCAGTTTTTGAATTCAGGGCCCTCTGCCCGTATCGGGGTCATCTGATAACCTGTTCAGATGCACTCCATCTTTCGGGTCCCTCCGCGTGGGGTTTTAAGTATTTCTTATTTGAATGGAGGTCCTTAAGCTCCTGTCGGGGCACCAATCTGATAAAATGTTCGGGCCCATTCGATCGTGGGGCAACTCCACGTCTGGTTTTGGGTACTTCCTTTTCTAATGGAGTACCTTCCGCCCTTTTTGAGGGCCCAATCTGTTAACCTGCTCTGGCGCACTCGGTTATTCGGGGCCTTCTACATCGTGCCGTGGGTAATTCACATTTGAACGGAAGGCCCTACGCTCTTGCCGGAGCCCCATCTGTTAGCCTGCTCGGGCACACTCGAATATCCGGGGGCCCTCCACATTGTGTCTTGGATACTTCCTATCTGAATGAAGGGACCTATGCACTTGTCGGGGACCTCGTCTGTTCGCCGGTTTGGCCAAATTGGATTGTTCAAGGGCCCTAAATATTGGGTCTCGGTGTTTGAATTTAGGGCCCTACACTCCTGTCTGGGTCATATGCTAATCTGCTCGGGTATACTCCATTTTTCGAGGGCCCTCCGCACTGCTTCTTATTTGAATGAAGGGCCCTGCGCTCTTGTCGGGCTCCTTCTGATACGCTACTCGGGACATTCCATCATTTGATCAGGGGTAGCTGGACTCTTGTGTCACTTTCTTGCACAATCACCTTGACTTCCCCTACCACAGAGGTGGGCTCACCTGTGTAGGTTTTCAGTCTCTGTCTGGATTCCTCCAATTTCCTGTTTGGCCACAGCTTACGGAAGAGCTGTTCCGACATCACTGACACTGTTGCACCAGTATAGACTTCCCCCCGCACTGGGTTTCCATCCACTTGCACTGTTGTCTCGATTGGGTCGTTCTCACTTCCTGTTGTCTCCTGTATAGACTTGTTGATTCTCAGGAAGTACTCCTCAGGTGGGCTTTCATGCTGAGCTTGCAGATGGTGTGCTTGGTCCATCTGTTTTACTATGGTAAAACCATGCTGACCTTTGTTGTAGCATGCTGTTTGAGTGTGACCCCGTTTTCCACCGTGAAAGCAGTCCTGCTTTTTAAAGGAGCACTCCCATTGGCCATGTTTTGGGCTGTTGCATCTTGTGCATCTTTCTGTGTTCGAGACACTGCGACTGGGCTGGTTGCTTTGGTGTATTTTATTTTGCACCACGTTTGGGAGTGGGCTTTTGTCTTCGCACTATGTTTTGTGCCTGGGCATTTTCCTCTTGCATAGCAAATCTGTTTGAATGGCATGCTTCAATGGCACAGGCATGGGCTCTGGGTTGTTCCAAACCTCTTACAAATGAGAGCAATTCGTTGAGTGTCATTTTCTGTTGCAGGGCCTTTTCCCTCACCCTGAGATCTGAGTCCCATGATCATCTGCTGGCGAATTTCCCAGGCAGAATCAGTGAAATCACAAGTACTGGCGGGGTGCCTGAGGAAAACCACATTACAAAAAATGAAGGTAAGGGCATGAATCTACCTGTTTTGTTATTATTTACGATGTGTCCTGCCTTAAACGCGACGAATGGTGTATAATGTTTTTTTCTAACGTTAGGTAGGAAAGTACACCCTGACCACACGTCGCCCGGCGCAATCAAGTTGAGAGTTGGTTATATTTCCAAACGGCGCAGCGCAACATGTTGACAACAACGCAACAACACTGCCGTAGTTCGCTGTGCTACAATACCACAGTGATCGTTTGATGATTATCACGCATAGAACCGACTTTTCGCACGCGATTCTGTATGTTTGCACTTTATTGCCTCCAAGGCTGCCAATCCGCGTTTGCTTGACACCTACAACCATCTGAATTATCTTTGGAGGGTGTATAAGCCCGGTGCGTAACCGCCGTCTGTTTTGGAGGGCGTATAAGCCCGGTGCGTAACCGCCCTCCGTTTTGGAGAGTGTATACGACGCACTGCCTTAGTATTTTCTACAGATTTAGTATTCGACTCCGTATTTTCGCACTGTAGCCTTCGCGCTCCGCCGCCGTCTTCCTACCGGCCCGCGATCGCGTCTCCCGCCATACTTGTCGTGTTCAATTCGCTAGAGTATACTCTCATCCCCCGCGTATATGAAAAAAGAAAATTTTGTTCGTCATTCGATCGCCTCCCGCGGGCTGAATGACTGGTGTGGGGGGGGGGGGGGGGGCGAGTACCGAGTATAGCGCGCAAGTAGTAGTATCTAGACCGAACGGTAGATGGCAGAGCGTCTCGCGAAGTACAGAAATACAGTCTAGTTCCGACCTCCGGCTCGTGTGCGCCTTCGCAGAGACAGACTCGAACAATCTGCTTCATACCTTTACCAGAAGATAGAGTGCATACGATTTCACCAAGCGTTTTAAACCTGGTGACCCCAGGTCACCATCTTCATCTTCAAAAACCGCCTAAATTTCATCAGCGGTCCTGAAACTGATGACTACAGGTCACCATCTTCACCCTCAAAACCGCATTAAACCACTTTAGGGCACTGCAGCCAAGTTCATGCTTGGAAACCGTTCAACTGATCTGACTGGAACTTTCACCAGAAAATAGAGCACATGCGATTTCATCAGCGGCACGGAAATAAGTGACCTCAGATTGTCATCTTCCTCTTCCTCTTGAATCAGCGTCAAGATGCGTCGTGTATACGTAAGTCTTGT